CTTCTTTATTCCAGCACTGCAGGATTAAACCCCAGTCATCTGTGTAGTGGGTAAGTGCTCTATCACTAAGCTACATCACCAGTGTCAGTTTGCTACTTTATTTAAGGTGGTTGGAAGTGAGAGAGCCAGTCATGGAGCTATCTAGGGGAAGGATTTTCCAGACTATCCAGTGCACATGTTCTCGGGACATAGGAGGTCCATGTTTGCTGTGACCGTGGCATAGCCCAGAGGTCAGCAGAGAGAACCGCGGACTGAGAACAAGAACAGGAGGTGAGGTGGTTGTGAGGGTGGAGCGTGGGCAAACAGCCAGAGTGGAGAGCCTGGGAGTCATTCAGGATTCACTCTGACTGAAGTGGAAAACCAGCTGAGGGCTTTGAACAGCTGGGAACGTGATCTGAGCGTAGCTGGGAGGCTCATCCTGGTTGTTACCGGAGGAGAAGATGGAAGCGGGAAGACCAACTAGCGCTTTTCCCTTTTCTCCTCCCCCCTCATCTCTTTCTCTCTCTTGTATTTCTTTACAAGTTAAGTGGCTTGAACAGTACGGTAGAGCAGGGAGCAGGAAATGGACACATTCTGAGCCTATTTTTAATGGAGACTGATTTTGCTGATGGACCAGGTTTACATGCGAGTCCATGAGAAAGGTAGGAGACTGGGAAGATTTGAGCTTTAGCCTTGAGGATCGAATGGAGCTAGCTTTGCTGACCCAGTGAAAATTAGTGAATCCCCTCAGGGTATTCATTGGGCTTTGCCTCTCCTGAGGAACAGCCTTATTTTCTCCATACTACCTCTACCTACCTCTGCTTGGTGAGAAAGGAAGGAACACTGCCTCAGTGTGAACTCAGCCTCATACTCAGCTGTGTGCGTGGGCAGGATGTGACTCTGGAGGATACAGCTTTTCTTAAACGGCAGGTACCATTCTGACATTCTCAACGTTCTCACCAGTGTCCTGGCTACTAACTAAACCAGTTTAAGCTTCGTCTGACATTTTCTCTCCTTGTTCCTCCCCAAGTACCTGACACTCTAGCCGTTTTGGTATATTTTCATGTCTTAGTTCCCTACTGTTTGCCCAACCTGGGGCAATCTATTAAGCTGTTATATTTGGTTACATCACTTGGGAATCTGTGCCAATGAGGTGGGGCAGGGATAGCAGACAGAATTTGGGGACAGCAAATTGAAGTTGGGAGACCAGATTCTCTTGGGGTCTGGGTGGGTGCAAGGGCTACAATTAGACTAGGCAGCTGGCAGAGACCCCACAGCAGGTTTGGGGGCTTTCAGGCTGATTCCAATATGAAACCAAGCACTCCAGGAAGGACACAGTGTGAGATTTCCACCCAGAAACAGTCATTGTAAACAGTGTGGCACCTGCTGAAGATCAAGAAAAAGTCTTAGAACTTCTGTTTCTCTGTTTTCCTATGTCATTCATAATATACTAATATCTTTATGGGAAGTGTAAATAAATGATTTACTTAGATTGAGGAGAACTTCCAGAATTCTTTTACAAATGCCTTAGTATGGCCAAAGAGATTGAAGAGTGTCTTTCTGGAGACTGGAGGCCAGGAGGGGAATCACCCGCAGGGTGAGGTGTGATCGCCAGTTCCTGGGCAGGAGAGAGGGTAGACACAGGTGAGGAGGGGGAAGATGCTGATGGTTTGCTGATATGTTTTGGGGGTTCTGTGTATCCCCCTGGTGGCATGATATGAGTAAGCCTGGGTAAATAGCTCTAGGAAAAGGAGGAACAGTCTGGAAGGCACTGCCCCAGCCAAGTAGGGAAGGTCACTCTTTAGTCTGCTTCCAGATCCAGCTTGCAGCTCTACGGTCAATCAGGAAGATTGGGCGGAGGTTGAGAAGGAAGTTGAACTATGGATGCTTCCTAAAGTTGAGAAGGGAAGTCTCTCCGGGTGGAGCGTAGATAAGAGCTGGTACCACAAGTCTGTGTAGGCAATAAGGAAAGGCCTAGAGCTGACAGGATGCTGAAGAGATGGACAAGGGACATTTCTAAGTTTCTCTGATACAGCAGGGCAGGCATGGACAATCAAGGAAGACATCCCTTCTCTAAGCAGGAACAGACAAACAGAAAGACAGACAGATCTTCCCTCTCACCTGAGCACAAATGTGTTTAAAAAGACCAACACTATTCCTCCCTCTTTGCTTCCAGACCCCTCTAGGACACATAGGCCCACAGAGAACAACAAATGTTTCCTTACATGCAGGAAGCGACTGACCCACCCACCCACTCACATTCTCTCTCCGGGTGCACCCAGACCCTAAACCTGAGCCACAACTTTCAGTTGCTGCTTGACAGCTCCTAGGAGGGACTTTGCAACACCCATGTGGTCCAAGAGGTCCCATGAGCCAGCTCTTAGGGTCTAGAAATAAATGCTGAAAAGAGAAACTTGGGGTCAGGGTCTGCGGCCTGTGTGGTGTCTTAGGGGACACAGCACGAAAGTGCAGCTGTGCCAATGAGCAGCTGAAGCCACTGGGGGAGAGGAGAGAAAGACAGAGCCTCAGGCTACCCCATCCACAAAGAGAGAGCCCTAGATGTTGCTCATTCTGGGAACCTGCGCCCCTAGGTGTGGTTGCAGGACACTAGCAGCAAGGCAAGGCTGATTTGTTAGAGAAGGGTAATGTTAAAGTTATTCTGAAGTTCCAGAAATCCAAAACTCGTGTGTGTGTGTGTGTGTGTGTGTGTGTGTGTGTGTGTTTGGGGTGGTGGTGAGGAACAGACTTCTCCAGGCCATCATCAGAGTTCAGCTGCAGTCCAGGAGAGTCTTGGTCAAGGATTTAGAGGAATTCGCATTGGCAGTGGAGTTGAATCCTTGACAGAATTATTGAGGGTCCTCTAGTTGGAGTACAGGGGCAGGGAGAGACAAACCTGGAGCCATGGGGAGTGCCATACAAAATTTTATTATTATTTATTATTATTATTTATCATGTGCACAAAAAAAGGAAGAAAGGAAGGAAGAAAGAAAATAAAAATAATTAAAACGAACCGACACGTTGAAAGTGGCGGAGGAGACCAGAACTGTGGAAGACCTTTCGAAAGCTAGGCCTGATCCTGGGTCCCGTGCTCCTTGAGCGCCGCCAGCAAGCCGGACACAAGACTGGGGTCAAGCCCGGCCTCGGAGCTGGGACCTAGGGCTCCGCTGCTGGGCCCGGACCAGGCGCCGGCAGTGCCCTTACACTCTTCTCTTTTCTCACTTTCCTTTTCAAATAAAAAGGCTCGAAGGGAAGAGAGATCTGGGCTAGGACTCCAAGCCTTTTCGGATTTGTTCAAGGATTTTTATTTATTTACTTATTTATTTTTTCACTTTTATTGACTTTGTTTCTGTTATTTCGAGTCGTCACGATCCACGGTTGAGGAGACATGCAGGGAGCATCGCCGCTACCGAGAGAGAGAGCAACTACAGGGCGGGGAGGGACAGGGCGGCCTAGCCTAGCCGGAGCACGGTGGCAAGGCCACAAGGGGCTAGCCCAGAGGCTGGCTCTGCCACTTTTAATGTAGCCTTGGAGGCCTGGGGCAGGAGGGCCGCGACCGAGACAGAGACAAGTGAGGCAGAGAAAGAGACACAGGAGAAAGCAGTAGAGAAAGGGGAGATGAAGAGGGAGGGAGAGATGCAGGGAGGTGAGAGAGGAAAACACGGAATTACAGAGAAACAGCCAACAAAACAGAGGCGAGAGGTGTCCACCGGACCATGTTCGTCATTTTGCATAGAGATTTCTTTCATAATTTTTTTTGTAAAGTAAAAAATGCCCCCCTCCCCCAGGACGTGCTGTGCTTGAGTGGGCATGTAGCTGTGTCCCCCCTCCCCCCAGCGAGCGGCGACCCTCACAGCACGGACAGCAGGTGTATCTACAGGCAGGGCGGGCGGGGGACAGGGACTCTACGGTACCCGGCGGGCGGGCGGGGCGGAGAGGGAGGGGATATGTACAGAGAGAGGTTCGCCTCCACACCACACACACCGTCTTTCTACAAAGCAGCCTTTTGGGTTTTTGTTTTGTTCGTTTATGCAAAGACCATCATATTAAATAAGTGTAGACTTTAGGGGCTCTGTTCGGCTGAGGGTGGATGGAGTGGGGCAAGCAGCCCCCGGTTTCCATCTCCCGGGCAACTCGGTCGTCAGTTCCCTCCTGGCTCCTACCGCCCGCAGGTTGGGAGTTTGGGGTGGGGGGCAGCAAGTTACTGCTAGGAAAGACCAGTGCTGGCAGCCGCAGTCGGAGGAAACTGTTCCGGCGGTGGCCCCGATTGGGCTGCGTGCAAGGTGTCCTGGGATGAAAACGCGCAGGAGGGGAAAGTCAAAGGCCAGCAGATGGAAGAGGCGCTGAGGTAGGGGCAAGGCGGGGCCGAGAGTAGAGTCACTGCAGGAGATCCCACGCCCTGGGGAACTAGGCAGTCAGGGTGGACGAGCTCAGTTGGCGTCTGCTCGCCTTGGGTACCAGCCTTGGAAAACTCTGACGTCCCAAACGTTGTCCCTCGAGTCCGATCCTCGCGTCCAGGTGCCACTGTCAGCGGCTGGACGCAGACAGAAGGCGGGGTCAGCCTGGCAGGCACAGGGGATGGGGTGGGGCAGGAGTTTCCCCAGGGGTTCCGACCAGGGCTCCTCCTTCTGCACAAAGTCCTTTCCTTAGTTTCCCTAGCTCAGCTTTTGCAGCGAAGCCTCCCAGCGCCCGGGCGTCAGAAGCGGGCTGCCCCCGGGTAGGCCACGCTGATTGTGTGTCACAGAAACGTGCCGGACGCGCGGGCCAGAGGCGGGCGAGCTTCCGGGCGGCGAGGTGGTCCAGGCAGGCAGAGAGGGGCGGCGGGCGGGGCTGGCGATGAGCCGGGGCCTGAGGGTCCCACCCGCCGCTCCACCGGTGCTGTCAGGCCATCGACAGGGTGACGTGAAGGGCTGTGGGGGAGGGGGGAGGGTGTCTCGAGGTGGAGGGGTGGGACTGGGACGGTGGCCGAGTGGCAGCTCGTCGCTTCGGTCCTCCCTCCCTCTGGGGTGGGCGGTCAGACTGGGACGATGTGGAGGCCGAAGCTGTCTGCCTGAAGCTTGATGTGGTCCCCGCGGTAACTAGTGGCGGTCATAGGCAGCGGCAGCAGCGGCAGGGGCGGAGCCCCGGGGGGCGGCACTATAATAATAAGGGGAACCTGGAAGTTAACACAGGAGAAGAATGGGCTGGGTGAGAGGACAAACAGGAGAACAAAAAAAGGAAAGAAAAGCAAAGAAAAGCCCTCCCCGGGTCCGGCAGGAACAGGACTGGAAGAATGTGACCGCCCTGAGGCCAGATCCCCAGGAAGAGCGCTGCGTTCTCAGGGCGGGAGAGGGACAGGACAGGTGACACCTGGCGGCAACAAGCCAAGGGATCCTATCGGCCCCTGCGGCCAAGAGCCTTCCAGTGAGGCAGGAGGCAAGGCGCCCCCGAGGAGTCCTCAGGCCCCAGCGTTGCTACAATGAGTCTGTCTCCCTGGCCCATCCGGGTACCCAGAGTTAGGGTGGTCTAGAGTGGGATCGCTGTCCCGAAGCAGCCTGCGCGCCCGACCGAGCGGGCGAGCAGGCTAGCCGCTGAGCCGCCCGCCAGCCAGGTGGCGTACTCACTTAGTAAGGCAGGGTTGCTGAATCTCCAAGCCTCGTTGTAGGCGGTGTACTGGGGATGGCTGTAGGGGTTGCCTGAGAACTCGCTCCCTGTGGGAGGGTGGGGAACTGGAATTAGATGTGCTCAGTGTGCCCGGTTGGCCTCTTCTGCCCTCCCCGATAGTCCCAGCCTCAGGTGTTGCAAGCAGAGCAAGGTCCGTGGGGGCAGGGTAGAGGTGAGGCATTCCACGCTCGCCACGTGGGGACAGCCACCAAAGGCAAGAAGTAACCGTATCTCTGTGCACCTAGGCCTGGAGGGATCTGTGGGCAGGTTTGTGCCTGGGATCCCCCGCGAAGCACTTCTGGCTACCCAGAAAGGGTTTGGCCTGGTCTGGCTGTGCCCACTTAAGTAACTTGGGAGCCCCGAGAGCTTTTATGGTGGACACCTACATTAGGAACTCCACAGGATTAAAGAGGGGGAGGGTGGTGAAGGAAGGCCCTTGAGACACTTTGTCCCAGAAAATCCTAAGAATGGTATCTCAGCGCTGTGCCAAAACTAGGCAGGTGGCGATGGTGCTGTTCTCCCGGGAAATAACCCCTTCCACTTTTTCCTCCTGAGGTCCACAATGAGCACCACGCAACTGGAGAAGGAGATTTGCAGGAACCAAGCGGACTGCCCGCAGGCCCAGGAGCCTGGGTAGTGGAGGGCACTGTGGGTTGAGCGCTGCCTCCCTCCCTTCAGGAGGAGAAAGGCCAGGCCTATGGGTTTCCCCCTCGCCCTTTCTCCTGTGTGATGACCCCAGACTGTTTACAGTGATCCCTAACCGCGGGTTAAGTAGAGGAGAAGGGGCCGCACTCCAAGGAGGAGCTGGGTGGGGGTGGGGATGCAGCCACTGGAAAGCCTGTTTATTGACGAGGAGGGAAAGCATGCGTGCAGCGGGATAATGAGCTTCTGAGCTCAACTGTGACCAAGAGGAACTGAGCTATCTCCTTCCCCATCGCTAATGAAACAAGTGTAATTTCCTCATCAGCACTAGATTCTGTTTAACGACTCCCCCCTTGCCACCGTGAGCTCTCTGCGGCTCCCCTCATCCCCACCTCCCTGCAGACTCCCCACCCCCATCTTCCCACTCTTTCCTCACCCCCCACTTCCCTAAGACCTCCTCCAGCCTCCACCTGCACAAGGATCTACCTCCAAAGCCTCTCCTGGCCCCCTACCAAGGCTTCTACTTGCCTTCTGTAGAGCCTGAGCAGGATTCCCTTCATCCACACCTCCAGCTTCTTCCCGTCCCTATTCTCTACTGCCCTACAGTAGACTCCCTAGTTTTCTCCACCCCACTTCTGCTTACTCAGGACTGTTCCTTGATGGATGAAGACAATCACCCTTTCTAGCCTCTTCTTCTCCCCCTTCCAGTGAAAGTTGAACTTTAGGAACAGGGCAGACAAAAGACTCCAGAGGCAGTGGGTTGCAGGTTGGGAAAGTCTTGGTCATTTTAAGACAAGAGATTTTGGTGTTTCTTTGCCTTTAAACCACACCCATTTGGGATGGACAGTGGGGATAGCAACCACCAGGCTTTAAATACAGTCTCTGCCTCCTTAATTCCAAACCCAAGTACAAGGCCTCTCAGCAAAAAAAAAAGGTGCACTGGAGTCCCACAGGGCCCAGAGGAGCCCAGAGGCCCCTGTCCTCTGAAGAAGTATAGAGGTGTTCTAGATCCTTTCTCTCTGAAGTTGGGGTCTCTCTGTTTCCCTCCTGTCCTCCACTCCACTTTGAGACTAGCTTCCTTCTCTCTCTAAATTAGGGTTGGTTCTCTATAGTGCTTTCCCCCTCTGGCTTGGTGTGGACCAGTGTGGCTTTGTCTGAATGACTGCCATGCCCCTGAAAATGGTCTTTGGTTCCAAGTTTCCATGGAAACCAGGGCAGGCTCTTCCAAGCAGTGTCAGCTAGCTGGGATGGGCTGGAGCATTGGGAGCATAGGCTTGGATGGTTGGATGCTGAGGAGGGGCCATAACCTACAGCTCTGTACACAGGGGCACTTCTGAGTTTCCTCCTGGCATTACTTCTAAAGGGCGAACTGTGGCTTCTAAGGAGGAGGAGGGATGAAGGACAATGGTTTGCCGGACAGTGGTTTGTTGGCTCTCCTCCCACTCCCAGCCTGAGACTACAGACCATTCAGCAGCTCACCCACAATTTAGATCAGACATCTCCAGTATTGTCACCTACCAGGCACCATTCCTGCCAGGGTGGAGGTAGGATAGCTCCCCTGGCCAGTGGGGGGCACATGAGGGGGGTAACCAGGTAGAGTGGTGCTCGCCATATCACGACCTGGAGAAACACAAAGGGGAAGGCATGAGGCCCAGAAGAGAGGGGACTGCCTCAGCTCACTCCTGGATGCTAGGAGGAGGAAGGAGATGGGCATCTGAGCCATCGGGCCCTGAGTGCCTGAATATGGGTCCAAATGTCTAGATGTGTGTCCGCCATCAGCCTTGAGCGTGTGTGCATGTGTGTGTGTGTGTGTTTAATGTTACTCATTGTATATCTGTGCATACATGTATGCCTGCCTCAGTCTTTGTCTCCATGATTCCCAACTGAGGAGGAGATGGGTGGAGATGCCCTGGGTTTACTCCTCTGAAGGCACTTAGCTACTGTCGTTCTAGTGGACCTCTGTCATCCTGTCTACTGCTCTAACACCTATCTTTCTCTCAGGTCGAAGGCACCACACTACCACCTCTACAAGAGTAGAGTCCTTCTAAGTGGACCTGTAGATGCCAGGCCTGGAGGCTGGGGGACTAACCGGTGGGCTATTTTGCTATGGTTGGCATATAAGTGATAGAAAACCATCTCTGAAGTGAATCAGGAACTTTGAGGGCAAGCAGGATTGGATCATGTTCCAGTAAGCAAAATCTGCTCCCCCTACCAACAGCCTCCCTGGAAGCCTCTGGTAGTCAGAGCCTACAGAGTGGGAGATGGGACTTCCCTTGCCAGAAGCAGGGAGCCGAGGCAAAGTGAATCAATATTCGAGAGATACTTCCACACAGATACATTTGTCCTGGAACACAGCAGCATGTGTCCATTTCTGTGGAGGGGCACCTTCTAGCATACTCCAGTCTTCATGGACAGCATTGGCTCCTTCCTACCTCCCACACCCCATACACTAGAGCCTGCCCTCTCCTGGGGCCCATGTATCTGCTGCAGATTCCCCTGTCTTCCTCACCAGATAGTGTCATTCTATTCCTCGGGCCTCTGTCCAACCCTGGGAAGGCAAGGTGTGGCTGGAGGAAGTCATAGCACTCTGTACATCCCCTTAGTTGGGTCCTGGTCATGGTGAGGTCCATGGGACTTTTCATGGCTATTCCATAGCATTTTTCTTCAGTACCATCCACTTGATGGCGTCACCTACTTCATTCCTCAGACGTATGCTTTCTCATCCCCACCTCGACACCTCTGAGAGAGTCATCCTTCTCTAAGAGTAAAGAGCCACTGCTCAGGTTTTTCCATTTCCTGCTGCCTGCTGAATGCCTTCATTAGCTGTCCACTGTCACCTCAAACTCAATAGGAATAAAGGCACATTCATCTTCTTCTCCATCAGTTTCCCAGCTCTTTTGAAGACATACCTAAAACTTCAGAGCGCTAGACACAGCCTTCTTTCCCCATCGCTTCCAATATGCAACAGATTCTCCTTAGCCATTTCTGTTGTATTCATTTCTATTCTCTCTGTCACATTTGTAGTTCGACCCACGAGTTCCTGCCTTTGGCTTGCTCCAGTGGTTTCTCTTTGCTTGTATTCCTGCCTTCACAGTCTTCCCCCTTACCAATCTAAAATGTGGCTGCTAGCCCTTCTGAAACACTGCTTGCTTTCAAATACTGCCATTGACTCCCTGTAGGCTACAGTTTGAACAGGGAACTCTCCAGACTCCATGTCCCCCAGGTACTCACCCCACTTGGCTTTCCTAGCTCTGATTCTTACTTCTGGTTGAGTTTGTTTTCATCTTGTGATGTAAAATGCCTGTGCTTGGATGTAACCTTTGCTTCCTTCTTACTCATAGTTTTCTTCCAGCTCAAGCCTCTACATTCCCATCCTTCTACTCCTCAAGGAAGTTTCTTTCAAGTTTCCATGACATCTGTGTTCCACGGCTGACTACATCAATGTCACTATATTACAAAATGCAATGTCAGTTCTGCTGTTTCATGCCAAACTGACCATAACTCATTCAAGGGTAGGACCTACATTCTGATCTATCCTGCATAGTTGAGAACACAGTAGACTCTCAGTAAGTACTTATTGATCAATTCTTACAATTCCTCCATTGCATCCATAGCTGATCCCTGATGGATGACAATGGGTTCTCATTGTTTCATATGTGTTGGTCTACTACAGAGCAGCACAACTAAAACGAAACCTGCTTGTGTCTTTTCCCTTTAACAGTCCATTGAAATGGGGCTGGAGAGGTAGCTTTATGGTTAAGAGCACTGGCTACTCGCCGAGAGGACCCAGGTTCAATTCCCAGCAGCCAAATGACAAATCACAACTGTTTGTACTTCCAGTCCCAGGGGACTGATGACCTCTTCTGGCCTCTTTGGGTACCAGGCATGTGGTGCCTACACATGCAGGCAAAACACCCTTATTTATTAAAATAAATAAAAGCTTAAACATTTGAAAAATAAATTAAAACAATAGCGGAATTTTTACAAAGATTTTCAGCGGTAGATTTATCTCTGGTGACTCAGATTTACTATGCAACAGAACGGTTTCCTTCTATGCCTGTCGGGTGTGGCTATCGCCTTACACGTCCTGAGATGCACTAATCAGACAACCAGCAAAGAAGATGCCACTTCTGAATCCCAGGCAGTAGAAGAATCTGCATTTGCTTTTCGTTTGTCCTATTTTGTTTTGTTTTGAGACAATCTTGCACCTAGTTCATGCTTGCCACAAACTTGTGATCCTCCTGCCTCAGACCCCTGAGTACTGGGATTACAGATGTGTGCTACCACAACTTGCTTGTGTTTGCTTTGTTGTAGGTTTTCTTGTAGTGTGTGTGTGTGTGTGTGTGTGTGTGTGTGTGTGTATAATTTTGTTTTTCAAGGCAGGATTTCTTTGTGTAGCCTTGACTGTCCTGGAACTAGCTCTGTAAACCAGCTGACCTCGAACTCAGAGATCCACCTGCTTCTGCCTCCTGAGTGCTGGGATTAAAGCTGTGTCACTGACTGACTTCTGTATTGACTTCGATTGCCAATAAAAAAGTGCACATCTCCTGAGCATCTCTCAGCAGAGAAGACCCAAAGCTCACAGCAAGAGAAAAACACGTATCATTTCCTAGAGAGAGAAATGAATTATTTGGCATTTATTTGCCAGAGAAGACCCAAGAGAAAAGGGGATTATGGGAGATGTGGAGGTTTTGAAGCTAGAGAGATATAAAACATGATTCTTCCAGGCCCTGTGATCTCAATATCCACAAAGCAGCCAGGAAGCAGAGTGTGCCTCCCTCCTTTTTTGCCCCTCCCTTCTTATTCTTTCTATTGTTTTTCATTCTGACATCATGCCCTTTTTGTTAATAATAGGAAAATTGAATTTGATCTTCACTGCCGTCATTCTTACAACTAGTTGAACACAAGTTCCCCACAATGGAAGGTATCCACATAAAACAACAGACCAAAACAAAACAACAAGACCCAGAAGAAACAAAGAAAGGGTGGATGGTCCAGAAGCTGTCTCCAGTCAATTCTCTTGCAAAGTTTATTCCCACAGCTACTTGGCCTGCAAAATGGCATGTTCAACTTCCAGCAGGTAGAAGACTTTGCCTACTAAGAACTGCTCCCTGAACGATTGATTGGAAGGCACGTTTCCAAATTCTACTTTAAAAAAAATCTATTTCCTTAGTTAGCAATTTAAAATTTGAAAAATAAGGGGGAAGAGGCCCGTGGTGAGGAAAAAGCATTTGAAATTTCCCAGTGTCTGTCCTCCACCTGTGCTCTGTTCTGTAGCGGCATCACACAAAGAGGTCCCTGTGCAGGACCTCTAAGTCAACACGGTGCCAGCCGCTGCATACAAAGTGCGCTCGATGACTTCATTAGTACACAGATGACACCTGACGAGCAGGGAAAAATTGACCAAAGTCTTGCTAGAGCCATATATTCTCCTGGAACACCATTGTCAATAACGGCAAACACACAGTGCAGGAAGTTTTCAAATTACTAAAACTATCATACCATTTGCCCAGCAGCGTTCTTTGAGCAAGCCTCCTTTGGCGAGGGAATATCAATGGGAAGCGGAAGAATTGACAGAAGCGCTGGGTGCTGCAGCCTTACAGGGAGACGGGCAGATGGCGGTGGGGGTGACTCAGAAACTGTAAGATGGCAAACAAGCCGAAGTGCAGGAACAGGAGAAAAGCCTATACGGCAGAGTGCATCGGTTATGAAATACGTGTCATCCCGCGGAAGACAGGAAGCAGTAAAGCATTGGCTTGCTCACTGACACTGCCAGTAACATAAAAAGCACCAGGAATCCGAACGGATAAAAAGTCAACGTCCCTGTGAGGGAATGGGCATTTCATATGGCCTACTTGCCTTCTGATGCTACAAAGCTTTCAAAGATGAGTCTTCGGGATGACTGTGCCCTTCTTTTAAAGGTAGAGAGATGGGGACACAGAGGCATAGTGACTCTCCTGGGACTACATGGCTATAAATGATAGCACCAACATTAGAAGCCATGTCCATGCCACACTGCCTTTAATGGCAGCATGGACCCAGATACTTCCCCAAAAGAGCTGAAGAGAAGGAAAAGAAGTTTTCCAGCAAGCAAAACCTCATACCACTACATAACCATTAAGATGAGGCGAGGAAAAAAAAGGGATGCAAAGAAGGAACAAGCGTCTGGGAGGTCTGTAGTAAAACTCCATGGGGTGGAGTCTTCGTCTCCTTTGAGAGTTCTTTAACACGAAAAAGCCCCTGTGAGAAGCAGCAGTAGTGGAGAGTCTTAAAGTACCCAGAAGTGTTAGAAGCACTGTACTTGATGAGGATGTCTTCGCAGTTCAACTGCGGGAGTCCCTGAAGACTCCAAAGCCAATTTTTGCAGCAGTCGCTCTGTCTGAATCAGACAGTGCACTTTCGTCAGGCATTCCTTAGCAAATGGGCCAAAGCAAATCAACTGTTTTGGAGAATTCTAAGTGCAGCCTCTCTCCCAAGCACGGACAGAAGCAAAGTTCCAAGCTTTATGAGGAAATTAGAGGTTTTAAGTCATCAGATCGTGTGTGCCGTTTGGTTGAATCAGCAATCTCCTGGCTCCTGGTCTTTCTAGCATCCATTGAACAGCTACCATGTGCTTGTCT